CATTACTTTTTATGTTGCTTAAAATGTTGTTTATATTTGTTATTTCTGCTAATTTAAAGTTAAAGGTTAAGTTATTTTTAAAGGCATTGTTTTTATAAATTTTAATTTTTACCGAACAGTTAGATTTATTTTGTAGAAAAGCAGCAAAAAAGCTATTAATATCATTAGGTTCTGATAAAGACGGGAATTTCATTATTTTTTGTAGAACAGATATTAAAACTTTTTAAAACTGACCACAGTTTTTTGGAGTTACCTTCAAAAGATTCTATGTATTCCTTCTTCCCTTTTCTTAACGATAAAGTAAAATTACTTAAATGTTTATAATTTACCCAGTCTGATTGAAGCTTTGATTTTTTAAATTTTTGCAGTGCTGTATCTCTTTGTTTCACAAATAACTTAATATGGTTAGTTAACCAAGGCCCTTTTGGCTTTGTTATTAGTGACTCTTTTATTGGTGCATGCTTACTAAACTCCAAATTTAACATTTGTACTGCAAATTCTGTCTTTACGTAGGCCGCTACTCCACCACCCCTACCCAGTCGGTCCTTTCTAATAAACTGGTAATTACGGATATTAAATATATTAACAATTTTTAACCAAGTCTCAGTTAACATTAAAATATCAAAATCTTTCTCCTCAATGATTTGCCTAAGTTCATTAAAATTAGTGAACGGAGATCGTACATTCAAGTGACCAATTTTAAAAGCATTGTTTTTTAATATAATCATAGTAACCAATATTTAAAAAGAAAAACAATATACAGTAGCTTTAGAAAAAAAATAAACAAAAATATATATATTCCAATTGAAGTTTAAATACAGATGCCACAAATATAAGGCCTAGCCCACATACGTATATACAGTATACAGATATGTCTATTGCCCAGTTATGTTAGTTTTTAAATACTTTAACACAAAAATACAACAGTATCATTCGATTTTTATAAATTAATATGTATTGCAAAGCAAAAAGAGCAGATAAAAAATTTTTATTTATGACAATATGTAGGTTTTCCGTTAATTCTTGATACGAAAAGTACCTACCGCTCGAATTTGAATGACTATTTTGACCCAAGGCTACTATTATGCCAATAACCAGAATATATAAATACAATGATAGTGGATTGCAAGTTGAACGCAAAAGAAGGAAAACGAATTAAGCTTGAAGATTGTTGACAGCATTGCCGGAAAAGCACATAATCATTCTACCTCACGCCTCTTTTTATGCTACCTTTTCTGCTTTATTTGACTACCTGGGCGTTAAACCCATTGATTTGTCAATTTACTTGCACGCGTCGGGATCTTTGTATGTCGTTATTATAAAAATTTCATCACAACATTTGCATACTCCTCACTAGGAATACATTGCTGTACTTGGATATACTCATATGCATAATATAAACATATTGAAGACAAATAATAACATGTGTGGTAGTAGTTGTAGTACCCGGCGTTTATGTTTGAGGTAACAAAAAAAAAATGCAGCATACTTGTTGTCACCTCTTTTTTCAAATGTTCCGTTAGTTTTTCTCGACTCGACTCGGAGCAGACATTCTGATTAAATTACTTTTGAACAAATGTACTGCAGAGTCACTAAACTTCACAAGTGAAGTGCCCTTAGCCAAACCCCTCTCCTAAAACAAACTTCTGTATCATTAGCTCTGCTTTCTCTGATTCTCCATTATTACCAAATGCAAATAGTAGCTAGTAATAGGGGTCTGGTTTTGGCATCCAGAATTTTGGAACTTATTTCTGCTAACAATAATTTTCAACTACAATCCTTGAGCATGTAGATGAAATGATGGCTAACATTACAGAGCAAATGTGAAAAATACGTTTAACTACTTTTCATTACTTAATATCAGAATGACAGTTTTTCCATTAAATCAGTGTATCTGTAATATACAAAGAGCACTATAAAAGTTTAGCAATACAGCTTTATTTATTGACTTCGTTCAAGCTAATTTCCACCACATTTAATATACTTCTTTCTCCATCCGACAAGACCAGTCCTTAAACCAGCTTTCACCCGGAGTGCGGTACACCCGTTGTCCCAGGCCCTCAGAAGGTCCTCATCGCTAGAAAACCATTTTCCTTTTAGCTTCATTTTCAAATGCGGAAACAGTGCAAAGTGGCAGGGAACAAGATTTGGACTGTAAGGAGTGTGCTCAATAAGTTTCAGTCCAGTAGTGGTTAAATACTAGGTGCAGGCTTTGGCGCGGTGGTACAAAGTCTCCATTCTTGAATTTGGTCGCAGGTTTTTCATAGACTCTATGACTTCAGACAGGCACTGTTCCGTGTAACACTTAGCTGTAACTGTCTTCTGTGTATCCAAAACGACACGCGCCACAATCCCGCTCTATTTGAAAAATACGGGATTTTCTGACAACTAAGAGTGTGTCCTCATCATCAAAGACTCAAACTTTGTTTTCAGCCTTGGTCGGCACATCGTAATAATAGAGCCAAGTCTCGTCACTTGTGACCATGTTGCTCACGTACCGAGATTGCCCTTTATCAAACATTTTCAGCATTTTTCGGCACCAAGTCGTACGAAGAGCCTTCTGCTCTTCCATCAGACTATGCGGTACCCACAGAGAACAAAGTTTCCTTACGTGTAAATGGTCATGCAGAATGGATGAATTGCTGGTGCATGAAGGTGTAAGGTCTCTTCTATCTCTTGGTACTCTCCAGTCTTCGCCAAGCATTTTTCTCGTAGCAGTACTGTTTTTCTCTGTTACTAACGTTCATGACTTTCCTTTCCTCTCATCGTTCGGGAGAGGGAAATTGCCTCTTCTAAACACTGGTCTATGCTTAAACCACGCGTAGAGTTACGCCCTAAATCTGCCCTTACCTCACTACGTGACCACGATGCCATGGTCTGCACTTTACACTGTCAATCAGAATGAACAACTAAATCAACAGACGTACTGCTTGCGGCTACTATGTACTCATGGACATGTCTCAACATGCAGTAACATACAGCCCGCTGCGTCCGTTTGTTAGGTCATATTGCAAAACTTTTATAGTTCCCTTTTATTCTCATGGCCTATGGCAAATATCATACCAAATTCACCGTAGACAGCACCTGTAAGGCTCCCAATCTCGCAATTGTCAAACCGCGGATCGTCTTAAAACAAACCTCCGACCATATAATTGCCGTTAATTTTATTTATAGGCGGGTTACCATTTCGGTATTCGGTCGCACACTACAAAAGAGCAGCAAAGGCCGGGCCATTTTAATTACTGCCGTAAAGTTAAATCAGAATTCCATATAAATAATGGAATTTTTAATTGTACACAGTAGGAGATCCACATATATCTCCGAGGAAGCGAGGCACACATATTCGGTAACATTCGGAGCTTCCACTCTCGGCTTTCGGAACCTTTGTTTCTTCAGCTCACCACTGACGTTTGTGGGTGTTTTATCGTTATAGTATTCCGACGACTTATTAACAATTTCAGAGTCTAGGCGCATTAATTAATGCGGCGATAATCAGCGAATATAATGTTCAATCGTAAAGACATTCCTTCGTTGAATGTATAAATGAGAAAGAAAGGATCAGAGGCAATTTGGACGTCTACCTACTATGAGACCTGGGTCAAGCAGCATTTCATGAAATGCTCACATTTCATGAACTGATGAAAGTGATTGAAGCTGGGCTTGTTTTTGTCAACCAATTATCATCTCATCTGATGATAACGAAACATCAGGAGACTATCAAGAGGTTAACACAAAACACGCAATTCCTTGTCACGTAGCCCTTCTATCAGTATTGTACTGCTCCAAATGTGCAGTAGGCGCCTGCTCACTTTTAGCATGATATGATTTAGAACAGATTCTAAAAAATGTAACACTCAATTTGTTCAGTCGTGTCAGACGGCCTTTATTAAGTATTATGTATATCGACATCCAGTTGGTATATATATATATACAGGGTGACTTTGAAGTTGAGTCATTAATTTTCAGATAATGATTGTAGAAGGAAGATAAACCAAAATATGTGTGTAAAAATAAAAAAAAATAAAAAAAAGTTTTTACCTTGTTTTATAAAGTATCTTCCCGACAAGTAATTCAGTGCGGACCTGTATTTGATCGTGAGGTGCCCTGTGAGGTCTTAAGTCACCTGATTCACGAGCCCGTTGTACTACATTAACAAAGGCACGAGGGGTTGGTTGCACTCGATTGGGAAACCGATCCGCATAAACATGTGCCATTTTTTATTTCGTTTGAGCCACGCAACAGACACCACTATTCACCCACGCGTTACCGACTGACACTGACTGTATACAAATGAATAAAATAATTGTAAAAACATCGTTCCAAATTCTTTCGCTTTTTTGTTTCCGATGCGATGAACCGATAAGGTGGATTATATCCGTTGTTGCCAAACACGAGTACATGATATTATTCTTGAGACAGGGCGGTACTCAAACTTCCAAAGGGCTATAACTTTGTTACTTTAATTTTACCAGAAAAATGGTAAAGGAAAAAACATTTCTTTTGATCAGATCTACTCACTGTTAAAATAAATGACTCAACTTCGAAGTCACCCTGTATATATTATAAGACTTCAATATTTCGAAAAATGGAAGTATGACGTGAATCCACACACCCAAGACCAAAAGAAATACTAGACTTCTCCATTAGACAACGCATCGCCGAGAATTCGATAAAGGCGCATAAGAAAAACGTGCCAGAAGTCCAAAAAGAAAAACTAAAATATTGAAATCCGATGACCTAAATGACAAATCTTGGATATAATAAGGTGATTATCTGTAATTTTCTCATATATATATATATTCGATGAAACTGCTATATTTCATCAAAATTTAACAAAATTGATCAACACGTTATTAGGACAGAAAACTGACTCCCTTATCTTGAAAACCGAGCAGTTCCAGGCATAAGTATATATAAGGGAGAGTGAGGGAATTGTGCACAGCGGGTGATTGTGCGCATTGCATTCCTCCCTTAAATATTAAATATTACTCAGTCTAACAAGTGCTGCGACCTAGCGGGCGACGTATCAAGTACGGCATATGCTTGAAATCGCGTCTATTTCAGTTAGTTTGTGAACGTTTTGCATCGATCGCACATGTTGTTTGGTTATAATTTTGGTACCTGATTCTAGAAGGTAAGCTGTCTGTTTATTCTAATAGATTTTTAGCATGTGTAGTCATAATTAGTAGGCATTTAGGCATCTTTTTATATGAATTAAATAATGATGGAGCGATTTTTTGTTTCTGCTATGACAAGTTTTTGCAAATAATGCCCCACATAGGATTAAATGATAATTTTTTGTTTCTTTAACAGATGCCACGAAATTACATACGGAAGACAGAAAAGAATTCCTGGGATCCAGAAAATTTGAAGAAAGTGTTAGAGGAAATTAGATATGGCAAGAAAATAAGAGAAGCTGACCGGGCATTTAATATACCAGAGTCAACATTACGAAAGCAAATGACAAAAGAAAATCCTGAATCATCCCGCCTTGGTCGTAAGCCAGTATTTTCCCCCGAGATTGACGCCCAACTAGGAGTACGTGCTTACACTTGCCAACCTGTTTTATGGTTTGACGCCCACACAACTTCGTCAGCATTTAGATATGCAAAAGAATATGATATAGTACATGTTTTCTCATCCGAAATGCAAATAGCTGGTAAAGACTGCTTATATGGATTGCTGAAACGAAATCCTGAAATAAAACTTATGCAGCCGGGGGGCACTAGCATAAATGAAATTGGTTCCTTCAACTCCGAATTAACTAAGAAGTTTTTTGAAGATCTCAAAGCGGTAATGGACAAACATAAGTTACCTCCAAACAGGATTTTTAACATGTATGAGACAGGGGTCACCGTGGTCCAAAAAAAGTCTCCAAAAGTTTATGGACGCAAGGGTACAAAAAAGGTGGGAGCTTTTATATCGGCGGAGCGCGGGCGAACAATAACAGCTGTATTTGCAGTTAGTGCTGGAGTTAACTATTGTCCACCTATGTTAATCTATCCTAGAAAGAGAATGTCCCCAGCCCTACAAAAAAATGGACCAATTGCAGCTCTTTATGCCAGCTCTAAAAATGGATGGATCAATTCGTAGCTGTTCGTTTAATGGTTTAAACATATTGAAAAAAACGTTAATCCCACAGAAAACGATCCTGTTCTGCTAGTTCTAGATAATCATTCCAGTCATATATCCCTAGAAGCTTATTTATTCTGTAAAAGCAGATTTATCCATATTGTTTCTTTTCCACCTCATACTTCTGACAACCTTCAGCCACTGGACTTAACATTTTTTGGTCCTTTAAAAAACCAACTCTCTAGGGAATATGATCTACAGTTTACCAATACGGGACATGAAAGAAAAAAAAAGAAATCAAATCATGAAGATCCAAAGAGAAAGACTCGTAGTAAACAGTGCTCAGAATCACATCGACCCCTTTTAAAGAACAACTAGAAAAGCCGCGGAAAAAGGAAGAATGACAGCAGCCAAGAAAATTAAAACAAACTTAACGGATACAAAGAAGAAAGAAGACATTGTAAAAAAAAAAAAATTCGTTACTAAGAAAAAGAGAAGGTTGTCAGAAACAAGTAGTGAATCCGATATTAGCAATGCCGCCTGCGATGACGACGACGAAGACGAGTTTGATCATTTTGACGATGCTGAACGTAGAGATAACCTTAATGAAGAATGTGGTATTTGTGGAAAGTTCGGTCGGGATCGGGAGCTATGGTACAGATGCGTCGGCTGTTCCACATGGAATCATGCAGCATGTAGTGGTGCTGATCGAGCTGAACGTTACCTATGTGATTATTGCCACTGGTAATGGTAGAAAAACTATAGAGATTCAACTTTCAATGTGCAAGATTGTGAATGTGGTCAAAAAAACAATACAAGGCGTGGATATATTGAATTCTGGAAATGTATTTTAATATATTTTCTCTAATACCAGATCTCACTAGTTGCGGTCCCAATTTTTTATTACCTTCCTAAGAAACGGTACAGGTCAACGAATTCGGTCTAGTTAGAAGGAGCAAGTTTACGATTTGCTTGTAACCAAAATTACGTACTTAGAGGTCAGGATGCAAGTTCATACTACAAGTCGATCAAGGGCTAGCCGCTGATTGACAGTTCTTGACGTTTCACACTAAATTCATATCTTTCTGTGAAAACATAAAGTTCCTGGCTTTCCTACAATCTTAGTGTTCCAGGCAGTTACAGACAATAGCGAACCTTTCTGTGCATTGCAAATATCAGTTTAAGCTCAAAAATAGCAAAGTTTTTTGTGGATAATTGTTATACTGTGTTATAATCTTCTGCGTGTTTTTTTGTATTTTCATGTACTTGAATTTTATTTTAGCGCTGGTATTATTATTATTACTATTATTATTATTATTATTATTATTATTATTATTATTATTATTATTATTATTATTATTATTTCTTTTAAATTTCTCAGCTCTTGATTGTTGGTGGCTGGATTGCTTTCTTCGTCAAAACCGGGGGTATGCCTTACCCCTTAGGTTAGACGTTACGTTATGACCTTTCTTAGAATGTGGGCTGTACCGAATATGGCTACAGTTTGAAGTTGGTAAGGGTTTAAGGTACCTGAGATTGCCTTTACATATGCATCAAAATTCTTGGACACGGCACCTGTGGAACCTATTATAATTGGTACTATGTGCGTACGCATTTGCCACATTCTGTTTATCTCAATAGACAAAGCCCGGTACTTTAGAAACTTTTCAGCCTGTTTGTCTTTCACGTTGTAATCTGATGGTACTGCAACATCAATTATAGTGCATAACTTACTTTTATGGTCTTTGATAACGATGTCCGGTTTGTTGGCGGCAATTGTTTGGTCTGTTGTTATAGGCTGATTCCAAAGAATGGTGACATTAGTTGCAGTTACAACCTGCTGTGGTTCATGATCATACCAACGCTGTTTAACGTCAATATCGAAATCTTTGCAGATTGAGTGGTGCAAGATCTTGGCAACTCTGTCGTGTCGTGTAACGTATTCGCGCTGAGCGAGGATAGGGCATGAAGACATTACGTGAGATATGGTTTCATCGTTCTCTTTGCATATCCTACATTTGGGATCGTTGTTTCTTCCCAGTATCCGGTTTGAATGGTAGTTGGTATTTAAGGCTTGATCTTGTGCCGCTGTTATGAGACTTTCTGTTTCACCCTTCACGTTTGCTCTTGTGAGTCACCTCACTGTGTCTGAGGTTATGCTTTTGAAGTTATCATTTATTTAATTTCACTTCTTGTTTCATCGAGCACTCACTTCCTATCTGAGGTGTGTTAATATATTTCTATGCCTAACAACAATATTGAAAATTCAAAATATTGTAGACAACCCAATTTTTTTGATGGATACAGTAAAGAGCCAACCGAAACTTTCATCTAACTAAACTTAACTTTATCTAATTTTGTTTTGAATGCTGAAGTTCTTAGGATAGTCACTTCTGTATTAGAAGTAGTAATTCTACGATATCATTTTAGTGCCACGAGATTCTTTGGAGGAAGCTCAGTACGCTCAAAGATGCATCAATATCAAATTAATTAAAGTACTTCCAGAAACTTTTTATTGGATAAATATAGCGACAATGATATAACAGTTGGACTTTTTATGTTAAGTTTAACTAGATATTTGCATTTAGCCAAGAATCCGCTTGGACCACAGCAACTATTTAGAAAAACCCAGTAGAATGCACGTAATGTGTCCCATTATTTCCAATATCAGATATTCCGCGATTGCTGTTGTTTGATGGAGATAATGTTTCCTATTTTTCACCTTCATAAATCACGAATTAAGCAGAATTGTTCATACGCTGTAGATATAGTACTTGCTTGTGTTTCTTTGCCTTATTTAAGTAACCCGTGTTTATTAACAATAGCTGAGCGATTCACATCGACATACATATAATATTTCTGCCTTGCTCCATGTGAGTACACTCGCGTATGCATTATTATTTTGCCACTGTCTTAGGAAATGTTATGCAAGTTAACCAGAAATATTGCCTAAAACTACCTACACACTTTTGGCAAACAATGAAATGTAAACATATAGGCCTGACTGCTATTCGGAAAGGCTGGTACAGATCGAAGCGGATTCATTGCCAAAATTAATTAGACGTTGCAGTCCCTTTGGTAATGTGTTATAAAATAGCGTATTCCAAATTCGTCCATTGAGAAGGAACTCATTCAAATCTTCTGTATGTCCCGCGCAACAAATCAGCCATTAGAATTTGCTTTTTATTCCAGCTTATTCTGGGAGAGCTTATTGCGTCACGCTAGAAATATTGCGTCATAACTTAAATTTTATGTTTGAGGTGTTTCCAACGAGGCTTCCACTTCCTATTCAGAGGAAAAAATGTATGCACTCAGAAAATGTATCTACTCTAGGTAAATTTTGATACTAAAATATAAATTTTCACCCACTTATGTATGTTACAAGGTGTTACATTGAAGCAGAATGAATAAGATTTTGTAAAGGGATCTCAAAAATGTTGCACGTCGTCAACTCACGTTCTGACTCATGTTATCTAATTGAAATATCTAAGAATTTTCCATTCTAACCGTAGAATTCGTGACTACTGACCAAATTTCTACCGCAATATACCAAAACCTAGTAAGTCAACTTACTAGACTTTACAATTTTGTCATTTTTGGAAAGCTCGTAAAATGTTGAAGGTTTTTCTCTCACTCAGCCGCGTTCTAAGTTACTCGAATTACAATTAAAAACCCAACAAATCATTTCATATCTACTTGCCAGGTTTTAAAGTTTTTTTCCTGTATGAATTTATGTGAGAGACTCCATAGAAAGTGCACTTGCTATTTTTTGCTTGATTCATATGCCGTTATTTTAAGACAGTTGGTGCGTTTGGGCGCGGCCGCTAGGGCGGTCCCCTAATAGTGTCCGAACTGGTATAGAATGTATATTGGTGGAGCTGGCCGACAACCGTTTTGGTTAGATTGCAGTTCAAAAAATATAGCAATAAAGTATTTTGAACCAGGCCGTTCACTGATGTCAGCAGAATCGGTTCATAGACGAATAATACGAAAAAAAATATAGAATATAATATACATGTATACCTCTCATTGAAACAATCTGACATACCCAACATTCCTAAATTCAGTCATGAAGGAAACCTTTTAAAAAGTGACTAGCAGCCTTACGATGGAGTATGTCGCCTTGCTATTTTATGTTCTATTATTTTTCATCTAAATATTTGTCTTTTGATTAGTAAGTCGATTTGTTATTTTTTACGTTCACCTTCCAACGTAATAACTATTTAAAAAAATCTTGGCACCTATTATTCCTTTTTTAATTTTCAAATCGACATTTTGTACAAACTAGTAAGTTGACTTACTTTTAAATTTGGTTCTAGTCAACGAGCCATGAAAAAATCATAGCTCGGTAGTTTCTTATCAGAAATAATGAAACTGATGGCATTGATTTAAACAAGTTATAAAGTAATTTCAAGATCTTTTTCGAACTTGCCTTGGTTTGGAAGCAGCAGGACCCGTTTCGTAGTTATTCCACTTTTATCCTATTGGTCTCATTCTGAATGGTCCTCCATTGACTACATTTGTCGGCACCTGCTTGATTCTTTTAGTCTCCCCAGGAACGAGACACGGGATCAAACAGATATACTTTTTAATTATCCGGGTATAAAAATAAATAGCCCCATAGTTAGGCAGGTATAAACCTATAAACTCACATTTATATATCGGAATTATAAAAATTCTCGTTTC